GTTTTCCTGGACAGTGGACCCTAAGCACTTGGAGTCCTGCACCTTTGTGACTTCTGTTCCTTGTAGCTTCACTGTTCAGTCCGCCTCCCTCTTATTTACACACTTGTCTTGCTACGGCTGACTTTCATTCCTGGAAACATACACAGATGGTTTAATATTATATCTCACAGACTGTAATGGACCAGAAATGTTTGGTGCACGCCATTTTCTGGGCATTTCAGCGACTTTTACTTTTGACTGCGCAGAGTAAATTAGTCTGCAAATAAAGGACAGAGAATGAGCTGTTTATTGTTTTAAAAATGCTTAAAAACAATCAACGTTTTCACATTTTTTTAACAAAGAGCACATAAAGTATGTGGAAATTGAAATGTAATTTTGTGTTGTACTTTACTGTTTTTGATGACAGATAATTTGAGTCGTAGTAATACTTCCTGTAAAAAACGGGTTTTTGTACTCATCGTGTAGTGAAGTTTACAAAACAAGGCCTGTCGCGATAAACAATAAATTAATCGCATGATAAATCCTTCATTTCAAACAGTCTTATACTGTCATCCGGTGGTCAAAAAGGTACCACACTCAAAACAAATTGACCAACATTTATTCTTAAATTTGACAATAATTACTAATTATTGTCAAATTTCAAACAATGTTATCATTTATCGTGATCATTTCTGAGACAATTAATCGCCAAGCAAAATTTGTTATCATGACAGGCCTAAACTTAACATGTTTTAAGTAATAATGTACACAATAATCCAACTATCGTACCCTTTATCCATTAAGAATGACAAACAATCTCAGAGTGGGCCGAGTGAATTGGAGAAACGAAGAAAGGACCATATCTCTCACTTCATTCTCCGACTCGCCTATTGTCAAACGTAAGCTTGTAATTTTTAACGTACAGAAAAACGATGCTAAAATAAAAGTTTCAGTATTAAATTGACGAGTATTTGTTTTTACTTGGTTTCTTGAAGGGAAGATCTGAGGCGATGGTTCATTCAACAGGAAATGGATCTTTTTCGCTACCGCTTTAATGAACTGGAGTCAGCAAAAAAGCTTGAATTTCTCCATAAGAATGATCTACATTATGACACGGTCAGTTTTTTTTATCATATTTTCTACAAATCTTTGTTTTATTTTATTTTTTTTACCTGTGGCTTATTTGTTGACATTCATGAGCTTAAAGACTAATCACAAGTGTAAAAATATGCAGAGCTATTGCTGAGAGCAGTTTGCAAAAGCTGCACGGAAACCAAAAGAGAGGCTCCTACACTGTCTTGAAAAGTATGGAGTTAATTTTTTTAAGTAAAGTATGTATAAACATCAAAGTTTCCCAACTTCTAGATTTTCCAAAAGATGTAAATTTAAATTTCTAATAATTGTTCAAACAAGCAGATTGTTTTGAGGACTAATGAACACAGCAGCATGAAATAAATCAGCAGCATGAGATCAGCATCATGGATAGTCAGCAGCACATATCAACAACCAAGTGGCATTACAGTGAATTTCAAATTTTTAAAAAAAAATTATTTTTTTTTTGTGGTCAGTCCACAAATAATAAATCCCATAAAACTGGGGTTTTACTTCAGGATCAGATCCTGTCTATCTTTTGAGGCTAGAAAGCAACTGGTTGATTCTACTTTTATGTCTGTACTGGACTATGGTGACATTTTATACATGCATGCTCCTCTTAGATGACTTTATTTGATGGATGCAGTTTATCATGGAGTTTTAAGATTTATAACAGGTTTTAAAAGGTTTTCCACATCACTGTACATTATACAACAGGGTTGGATGGACGGCCTTGGCCGCTCGTAGACTCCGCCATTGGCACATTTTTATTTATAAGGCCATACTAGGATTTCTTCATTCATATTTTTTGCCCTTTATAAAGAGAAAGTCCACCGGAGGATACGTTCTTCGTTGTGAGAACTTATTTTTACTTTCGGTGCCTAAAGTTTGAACTGAACTTGAAAAGAAATCTTTTCTGTTTTCTGCTCCATCTTCTTGGAACCAGTTGCAGAAATGCATGAACCTAAAGGAGTTCTTGTCACAAAATGTTTTAAGGCTGTTCTTACTGATTTGGAGAAGGAATAATCTGTAAATGTTTTAACTGAGGAATCTTTTAATTAGTTTATTTATGACAGAGTTAACTTTTTCTGTTTTTGCTGTGAATGTGAAACTTCTGTGTGCTGCTGCCAGTCTTGGCCAGGTTTCTCTTGTAAAAGAGATTTTTGATCCCAATGGGATTTTCCTGGTGAAATAAAGGTTAAATAAAATAAATAAAATGAATTTCCCCTCTATTAAAGGTTTCCAGTTCCGGT